TGCAGAGGGTGTGGTCCCGAGCAGGCTCTCTGGGTGCTCTCCCCCCACCTCCTCTGCCAGGTCTCTGGTAAGGGTCAAGGATGTAATAGAAGGGCAGTAGAAGGAGGAGACTTCTAGAGACAGGTGCCTCTCCTGTTCCCTTTCACAATGGGTTGGAGCCTAGCTTGGTCCATTTGGCCTGCTGTAACAAAATACCACAGACTGGTGGCTTATACACAACAGAGATTTATTTCTCAAAGATCTGGTGCCTAAAATCCGAGGTCAGGGTCCCAGCATGATCAGGTGAGGGCTCTCTTCCAGGTTGCAGACTTGCATACTATTTGGCACACAGGGATAGGGAGCTCTGTGGGGTCTCCTTAATAAGGGCACTGATCCCACTCATGAAGGCCTCATCCTCATGACCCATGCACCTCCCAAAGGCCCACCTCCTAATACCATCACCTTGGACATTAGGATTTCAATGTAGGAATTTTGGGGAGACACGTTCACTGTAACAGAGCCAGAGTTCCTGACTCTTAGTTTTCTTCTAGCCTTTAGTCAGAATCCCTGTGCCTCCCTCCCTGTGGTGCCATGAAGTCAAAGTATTTACAAGATGACTGTGAGAACCAGTGTGTGTATATGTCATTTCTGCTGCCCCCTATGTTGAAAATAGAAAAACACATTGCTCGTGTTTAATATGTGTAAACTAGTACCCCAAACCCATGTAGCTGTGGTGTGCTAGCAAAGATAAGGATATGCTGAGAAGTAATATAATCCTGTACTTACTTTGGCATAACAGTGTAAAGTAATGATAACTTATATCCTTGTTCTAACACTTATTAACAGAGTGATTTATCCTTTATGTTTTCAGCAATTGAGCGAGAGAAAACCTGTCTAAAATGCTATAGGAAGACATTTTATATATATATATATATATGTCTCTTATGTGTTGGATAAAATTAAAGAGATCCTTTTGTATAGTGGTTAGGTCAGGAAGGAAACTATAACTGTATTAATACCTAGGGTTTATTGAGACCTAAATGTCTGCCATACAGTTAATATGTATCACTCATTTAATCTTACTACAGTCTTAGGAGTTTGATCACATTATCTGAAGCACACAAAGATGCTATGTATTAATAAGTGGACCATATTTCAATTGAGGAAGAAAGATGGTCTGAAAACATTTTTAGAACACAAACAATCCATTTTATATAATTGCTGTGCAAACATAATTTTTGGCAAAAATTCTGATTCCTGGCCTTCATGTGAATAAAAAGAACAGCAACCTCTTTTGGACAAGTTGAGGCCAGTTATTCAGAGAATTTAAATGTGGCAAGACATGTTTTCAACATATATATCCAGAGAACCATTTGAAGTGCCTATTTTGAGAACAAGGATAAAAATATAAGATTGCTCCCCAACTGCTCCACTTATAGGGGTTCCTAGATTTATTGCATGAAGGTGGGGCAGGATGATGAAGGGGGATGTGGCAAAAGCTTATCCTCCCAGAAAAGAGACTCTGAATTTAAATACATTATTTCTCCAACTTTCTCAACACAAATGAATCATCTCCATTTCATTGGAACTGGAAAGTTAACAGTAACTTACTGGAATACAAAAAGATGATTAAGTATTTGTGAAAAATTTAAATGTGATACTTAAAGGCAGTAGAAGTCCTAAAGATACCTTAAAGGACATACGTTTATTCAAGGAGAAAGCTTTTTCCAGAGTTTTGAATTCGATACCCCACTTGAGTGATATTTAAATAAAAGTAAAATAGAAAATGCCTCTTAGGAAAGGATGGCCTAGTTCCAGCCTTTCTGCTATATTAATTTAGAGGGCTCATTTTAACATTGCCCACAGGATAAATTCTGAATTTCTCAGCTCCACAAGCAGACCTCATCCTTTAAGCACCATCCTCTGTCACATCTATATAGTGTCTCTGCCTCCATCACTTCTTTTCAGAAGTCAGCGGATCTGTAAGGCACACTCATTCCTCCAAGTCTTTCTCCTGCTGTTTACTTAGTTTTATTCCTGTTTAAATTTTTGCACATCCTTCAAAAATCTGCCCCCTTGAATGGGTTTCTCTAATTTCACCAGGTCTAGAATTTATAGCTACTTCTTTGCTCTCAGACTTCTGTTTGTTCATTTCTTGCCCTTAGTTAATTCTGTCTAGGTAATCATATGCATCCTTTGTACCATCAACAGTTAGCTCCTTGAAGGAAGACTGAAATATTTCTCCATCATATTTTTATAACCATTCAGTCCCATACGTAAATGCTATAACTCAACAAATATCTATGGAATGAATGAAAAACAAAGTCCTCCCCACCTCCAAAAAATACTCAGAACTAGAGTATACTTTCCCTCCTTTCCCTTACATGATATCCCTTTACCTCATGACCATTTGACTGCCACCTTTGTGTCTTTGTATTTCTCCTATGTCAGTCTGATTATGGACATTCCTTGGTTAAAACACTTTTAATACTCCTAAATGATATACTCCTTGGAATGATACATTTAATGCTCCTTAGAATGATAATTTAACTTTGGTGAGATAAAATACAAACTTTATTCAGTGTCCTTTTCACAATTTGACTTACACCACTCTGAATCACATGTCACTCTCTCCTCACACTTTGTTACAGCTATACTGAATTTCCTTGTGTGCCAGAAATGGTCTTTCTACATGGAATGCTTTTTTCTTCCCTTCCTCCTCTTCTCCATCATCTCTGGCTGACTTCTTACAGATTCAAGATAAGATGTTATGTCTTTCTAGAAATAACTTCTAACTCCCCACACCACCTCCATTCCCAGACTGGATTAAATCTTTCTCCTTTGTGATCTAATAAGTACTAAAGATCAGAAGGACGTGGGTGAAGACTCAATACTTACCAAGCAGTGATTTTGGACCAGTGTTTCTCAAACTTTATGATGCATCATTATCACTTGGAGAGCTTGTTAAGTCATAGCTGACTCATTGGTCTCCATCTCCACTTTCATAGTTGGCTGGGCCTCATCTGCAGTATCGTAGTTTGCTGGGACCATCTCCCAAGTTTCTGATTCAACAGTTTTGGAATGGTCCTGAGAATTTGCATTTCTAACAAGTTTCCAACCAACACCGATATTGTCCTGGGACCACACTTTAAGAACCCTGCTTTAAATAATGTATTTAACCTCTTTAAGCTTAAGTTTTACCTGCTTCTGCAAAATGAGGCTAGAAAGAGTATTTTAAGAATTAGTTGACATAATGTGTGTTTGACATGAATTTGTACTCAGTCAATGCCAGTTAATATTATTATATTAGCATTGCTTTCATCACTATATTAAATTGGAGAGAAACAGACCATTTGCCGGGTAAATTAGGAATCTCATAATGAGCACAGACTATGTTGGTTTTATTATTGTTTGTTATAGGTACCTTATGAAGTGGACTACTAAGCACAAAATAAACATGTAATGGAATACATTCAAAGTAAAAGCCCTCAATAAATACTTGATAAAACGAATTTAGGTGCTTCTTTGTAGGTAGCCCTTAATACTCTGAATGTTATTGGATTTTGGGGGATTGTTTTTGCTGATTGGTTCCTAAATTGCTTTTGGGTATGGTGAATCAGGCCCCACAGCTTTTGTTTCTAGGAAGATTATACAAGCAACATAGAGAACATCTTTCTGTGAAGAACTAGAAGTAAATAGTTACGTGGACTATTTCATTTGGCTCTGCAGTTTCAGTTTCATACTGATGAAAGCAATTGTAGCAGTGTATTCCCCTGCCTCCTGTACCTGAACATATTCCTGCATTTAACACTGGATATGGTTAGAAATTAATATGTGAAGAATTAAATTATCAGTTCTTTGAAAATTCATGAAGCCTCCTCTCTTGAGAAACCTTTCCTGCTTTCACTGTCAGTCGATGCCATCTTCATCTTTGTTCTCAGAATCTTGTATTTTATATCCATTCATTAGTTCAGCACATGTGGCTTTTCAGCATCTACATATGGCCAGCATTAATCTCATGGTGGTAATGACACACTCAGTGAACTCCCTGCTTCCAGACCTGAAGCATGGCATTTACCAACTGTACTATAATTGTTTGCTTCCCTATCTCCCATGCTATATTATGAGCTTCCTAATGGTCGGTGCATTATTTAATTGATTTTAGGGTATTCAACTCAATATCCCCTATATGATAAGATACCCATGCATATGGATTATTATTGATACAGAGGGATCCTCCTTATTATATTGGTGCTGAGGAATGGAATGGGGCACCAGAGATCATATACTGCTTGTCATGAAAGGATTTGGTGTTAGATGTGTGTTCTTTAACCTGCAAAGTATTGTTTGAATTTCAGTTAGGGCCAACCAATAAAACAGGATGTTTTTCATAACAATCAAGATTTCTAGCTTCTCTTGAAAAAGCCCACATTCCTGTATTGCACCAATCTGCTGAAGCTAATTCCCACTCAGCCTGCTCCTTTAGATGAAGCTTGCCCTCTCTGTTTCACTGTAACACCTACCATTCCTACCATATTACCTGTGTGTGTATGTGCATATGTGTATCATATTTGTTTGCACGGGTGTGTGAAATTTTTCAAATTCTACATAAATCATTGAAAGTTTGTCTTTTCAAGCTTTTAGTAACTCCAACGGGAAATAATACCTATTCCTTCTTTTTCTTAGTGATGTAGAATGCTAACAAGGACTTGATTTCTTTTGAAATACGTAGTATATTGAGTCATCAATCTAAGTTTTGTTGTTTTTGTTCCAGGTTGGCATTCTCACAGTAAGTTTCCTGTATTTCTCATTAGTTAGTTGCTAGCTACTCTCTACTGTGATATGTATCTCAGTCCCAGGTAACCAACTTACCTAATTCTATGTAGTTTGGGGTTTTTCTTCTCCTTTATGATTAGTGAGCTAACATTTTCATTTGACTTGGTTTTGCCATCTGAGATTAAAAACAAAGTTGAATTAAAATTATAATTTACCACATTAAATATATTCATGTTTTATTTCAGCTATCCTTAAAAAGAAGAGGAAGCAAAGATATGCCAAAATCTGAAAAAAAGACTCAGCAGACTCCCACAGAGGTATGTGCCTGGAAAATTTGAACTACTACATCAAACACCTTTACATGTATATAATAATAAGCTCCAATCTGTAGATATAATATCCAGGTAGATTCATGTAAAACAAAGTTATATTATGTGTATCAATTATGTAGCTATAGATACAAGCATTCTAAAGCATTCAGTGTCTTTACTTATAAGGCCAGCACTAACATCCCCAATATTGCTTTTACATTGTAAGCACATAGCAGATGTCATTTGTACTTAATGTGTTGCTGTTTGAGAACTGTACCCATGATGCTAATCTTGTTCACTTGTAATTGTAAGGTCAATAGAATGGCTGTTCCTTTAGTATTAGAAGATAGTAAAGAAAGGAATACAGTAGGAAGGGATGGTAGAGGAGAGAGGTAGGCTCATGACTTAGAGCTCTAGAATGAAGTGATTCTTTATAATTCTTTATACCATGGATTGGGGAAGCAAGAGAAAGATAGCGAAGGAATAAAAATAAATCTGAAAAGATGTACTCAACACGGGCTTGTCAAGAACCTTAGAAACACAGCTGCAGTAAAGACTAGCTCTGCTTTCAGGGTGAGCAGGAAGTGTTGATGGATGTAAGGAAGGAGATTTTAGGACAGAAAAGAAAATATTTTGGGGCAGAAGTGATATTATGGCTCTGCAAAAACACTGGGCGAGATACTGACACTTAAATGTGTGAGCTGGAATCTGTAATACTATAGTGTACTTTAAAAAAATTTCTTGTAAGGTGTGTTCTCATGAGATCATTTTAACTAAAGATCAATATAACTAAAGTAGTTAAATATTCAGAAGTTGATCTCAATTTTTTTTTTAAAACATAACATATTAAATGTTTATTTTCACTTTTCCTCTCTCTCCCTGCCTTATTTTTTTTAAAACTCGTGTTTGTCTTATTCTTATACTTTCCATGTTAAAGTTTATTTATTCTTGCAACAATGTATTTTTTTTAACCCCCACTCCCCCAGGAATTCAGTTAAGAATTCTCCCTGGCACTGTGGACCTCCATTCCACATGCTTGTGGGCACCTTTCTGCAAAACAAAACAAAAAGCATACACAGCTTTCCATCAGTTTCTCAGTGGGACCTGCGACCTTATAACAGTCCAGATATATTGCAGTCCATCAGTTTTTATTTCATGGGCATAAAGCTCCTGGGGAATTTGTAAGGATGCTGTTGTGGCCTTTGAAGAGCCTATCATTTCCAATCCATTTATTTTCAGAGGTTATTACCTCTCTTTTTTCAAAAACCCACTCCAGTAGATTGATCAGGATGGTCTCATATGGGAGATCTCAATTATAAAATAGTCCATAGATGATTCTATTGCTCAGTCAAGGTGGGGGACCATTGCTTCTCATGTTGTATTACTGCCAGCATTCCTTTTTTTGTAATTCTTGTTTATATATTCACCTCCCATACTTAGCCAGGGCATATTGTAGGCAGGGGCCATCTTATTTAGCTTCGGCTTGTCAGTGTCTAGTGTCTGGCCTCTGCAACATACTCAGGGTGCACTTTTGAGTACTCCCGTCTCTCTCTTTTCTAGGTTGAGCCATATGAAATGAAGCTGACAACATGCTGTTGATTTTGACCTACACAAATGGCAATTTCATGTGGTTTAACCTACTGATATTTGCATGGCTTTGTATTTTTGTCCCTTTGCTTAGCTTCTTTGATGTATTCCTTGTGTTCATACAGCAGCACAGTGACCTTATTTACTGAGCAATGGTATTGCTTAGCAATTAGCAACAGTAACCTCAGTGCCAGATTGCCCAAATGGAAATCTCTGCCATCTCCTCCCAAACCGTTAACCAATTATTGTCTGTCTCCCTTTCTTTTCTTCTCCAAGTCCATCGCAATAGCTGCAATCACCACTTCAGTGCATCTCATTCTCATGTCCTGCCCTCTGGACCTGAGCTCTCTGTAGGTCCAGAGGTGTCATCTTTGTAATTTTGGGCCTGAGATTCTACATGCCTATCAACAGGTGTTTCTACTAGATATCCCACCACTGACACACCCCAAAGATAGTGTGTTAATTTTACCTAAACCTATATTATTTATACAAAATCTGCTCCTCTTTGTTCATTCCTGTTCCTGTTATTGGCGGCTTACACTGTCAGGACACCTAAGCTCAAAATGCCAGTGTTGTCTTTGATTCTTCTGCTGATGTGATATTAAATATCATGATATGTCCTTGTTTCATCTGCTCTGACTTTAGTTTGAGGGCCCCAAACCACAGACTCTTGCGGGGCAGCTTCTCTCTTGCCTTGTGAAACGGATTCTTAATTCTACCTTTCTGTGACACACCATCTTACCCTTCTCCTGAGTTCTCACATCACTTCTCTCTGTGCTTCTCTCCTTTCTTGTATACCCCTTCTAGAGGAATCCATAGAAGCCAATACATCTGATTTGTTTTATTTTACCCCATTGCCTTCTCTGTAAAACAGACCCAGTGTCACCTTCTCCACGGGAGCTGATGTGAGGATATAATGATATAAGGAATGTGTGATACCCAGGCTCTGCACACTCAGCAGCTCTCACACCCTTCCCACTAATTCTCATTAGTAGCTGGGAGGATAGGAGTCCCGTGTCCTGCTCTCCCTCTCAAAGCCTTGGGGCCACACTGCATGAGCCCGGCTCATGGAAGCTCAGCACTCTCCTCACCTTCACCTCTAGTGGTTGCTACTGTTTACCAGCATTCATCTCAAATACAGCTAATTCTGCTGGGAAAGGAAAGCATTTTTATTCCCATTGAGAACATGAGGAAACCAAAATCCTCAGAACTTACATTATTAGTACAAAGTAAACACTTCAAAGAGAATTTGGGGAAACTGCCTTGACATAATAATATGGTTCTTATGTTAGCTCTCAGAGAAGAATTGATTTCCATTTTTTTTAATTTATGCTTTTCAGTTTAGTGACTCGAGTTTGAAGGTTGTCCTCAGAATGTGTGAGAAGCACCTCTGTGGGTTTATTCCATCATCCTTTCACCAGCTTTAGCCATTTCAGAGTGATGGGAGTACATCCTATTTTGAAAGTAACCCGGATGAAACACCTACCAGTTTCTCCCTTGTTAGGTCATTCCAGGGTTAAACTGAACCTATTTTAAAGGACTTTAAAAACAATTCTACCCCCTCCAAAAAAAAAAATTCTACCTTGAATAAAGATGGACAGATTACTTGCTGTATGGCAGAGTGATCATGGGCCTAAATCTTAGTGTGAAGCAGAATTGACTTCCAAATTCACCTTTTTCCTTTGCCACTTGCTAGCTGTATAACTTTCAACAAGTTTTTCTTTAAACTAGGTATTTTTATACCTACTCACAAGTTTTTCTTTTGGACATTAAGTTAGATCATACGTGTAAAGACATTCACAGAAGCTGACTGGGAGTCAGTGCTTAATAAATGGCAGTAAGTTCATATTAACCATGTGTTCTTCCAGAAAATAGGTTTCCTATTTATTATCCTCAGGGGAATTCAAACTATGTAAAAGATAAAACAATCAAAATGAACATTGTTGAAATGAAAGCCAAACAATTGTGTGCACTTACAACATATAATAATTTCTAAATGGTGATCACAGTTTTTCTTTTTATATTCCTTTTTTTGTTTGTTTCGAAAGTTTACTATTACCCTAATCTTTTATTTGCCAAAGAATTTAGATGATTTGGGGAAAATATATGGCATCTACCACTCCCTGTCTCTGTGTGTCATTAAATCTTAACAAGAAAAGGGAATTATTTTTGCAGGTGCCATTTCTTGTTTTTCTTGATTTACATAAAAATGATCTCCTGTCTTTTTCCTCTTTTTCCCAAATGAGGAGGACAGTGAAGATCTGAAATGCCAGCTGCAGTTTGTGAAGGAAGAAGCTGCTTTGATGAGAAAGAAAATGGCCAAGATTGACAAAGAAAAGGATAGATTTGAACACGAGCTCCAGAAGTACAGATCCTTTTATGGGGATCTGGACAGTCCTTTGCCCAAAGGAGAAGCCGGGGGGCCTCCCAGCACCAGGGAGGCTGAGCTCAAGCTAAGGCTGAGGCTGGTGGAGGAGGAAGCCAACATCCTGGGCAGGAAAATCGTTGAACTGGAGGTGGAGAACAGAGGCCTGAAGGCGGAACTGGACGACCTGCGGGGCGACGACTTCAACGGCTCGGCCAACCCCCTCATGCGGGAGCAGAGCGAATCCTTGTCGGAGCTGCGGCAGCACCTGCAGCTGGTGGAGGACGAGACTGAGCTGCTGCGGAGGAACGTGGCCGACCTGGAGGAGCAGAACAAGCGCATCACGGCCGAGCTCAACAAGTACAAGTACAAGTCAGGTGGCCACGAGAGCGCGCGGCACCACGACAGCGCCAAGAGCGAGGCCCTGCAGGAGGAGCTGAAGGCGGCGCGCCTGCAGATAAACGAGCTCAGCGGCAAGGTCATGCAGCTGCAGTACGAGAACCGCGTGCTCATGTCCAACATGCAGCGCTACGACCTGGCCTCGCACCTGGGCATCCGCGGCAGCCCCCGCGACAGCGACGCCGAGAGCGATGCTGGCAAGAAGGAGAGCGACGACGACTCGCGGCCGCCACACCGCAAGCGCGAAGGGCCCATTGGCGGCGAGAGTGACTCGGAGGAGGTGCGCAACATTCGCTGCCTCACGCCCACCCGCTCTTTCTATCCAGCGCCCGGGCCCTGGCCCAAGAGCTTCTCCGACCGGCAGCAGATGAAGGACATCCGCTCGGAGGCCGAGCGCCTGGGCAAGACCATCGACCGGCTCATCGCCGACACCAGCACCATCATCACCGAGGCGCGCATCTACGTGGCCAACGGGGACCTGTTCGGACTGATGGACGAGGAGGACGACGGCAGCCGCATCCGTGAGCACGAGCTGCTTTACCGCATCAACGCGCAGATGAAGGCCTTCCGCAAGGAGCTGCAGAACTTCATCGACCGCCTTGAGGTGCCCAAATCCGCGGACGACCGCGGTGCCGAGGAGCCCATATCCGTGAGTCAGGTACAGTTCTGCCTATTGCGAGCCACGGCGATGGCGAGGCTGGCCCGCGGACCTGCGGCCCCCAGTGGGGCGTCTCCGCGCACCGGCCCCCACGCCCCGCTTTAAGGAAATCCCGGCTCAGAGCCTCCCCGTGGGCTTGGAAGCCCGCAGCGCACCTGTCCTTTAACACTGTCCTTGAGGCCTTAGGTTTTCCTGACCCAGTCACGTGGTAACTATCTCCCCTCTATTCTGTATAATGCAAAAATATAGCACCCCCTGCCCCCAGTTTCTGTGTAAAGGATTTTAAGATACATTATTATTGAAGGTCAACAACATTTTCAGTATTACTCTACTGATTCTAACAGATTGAACTGAAAGAAGATTATGAACAGGAATCTTAAATTGTTGATTTGCAGATTTTAAGCCAAGATTCAAACTGAGTTTAATATATATATATATTTAATTATTAAATAGCGAGAATTAAAGCATAACTACTAGTAAACATAGAAATCAGCAGGAAAGAGAGATGATATTGTGTCTAGAGCCCTACCAAAAGGAACAAATGGAAGTCCCTCCTTTACCACAAATCAAAGCAACATGATCCTTTTTTCTAGAAAAAAAAAATCATTGTCAGCTCTGTAGTAGAGAATCTCAGGACTGTATACTTTCACTTTAAGGCAACACTAATTCAGATAAATAGTAATAACTATTCCCGAACAGGGAACACCAGCACTTTTCCTTCATCCTAATTTGTAGAGGCTCAACTGATGAATTGGACTGAGCTGCTCTAGCCAGGTATGGTGGCCAAAGACCAATGCATTTATCAGAGTTAACCATGTAAGAGAGAATTTATAAAACAAAACAGGCAGTGCTACCCTCTCTGGTAAGCCTACTGTCCTGTATCCATTGGAAAACCCAGAGAAGTACAACAGCATGCATGGCTTTTAAGACACGCAAAAAGGTTTAAATTGAAAAATCAGTTTATACACAGAAGCATGATATTAAATTAACTGCCTGTTAGTGACAACTAGAAAAATTGCAACCCTACTGCTTATTTGTCTCGCATGTTGCTCTGCTTTGCTTATGAAAAAAATGTCTTAGGATAAAACTTGCTGGGGTTTGAAATGTTAAAGTTTTTTTTCTACTAACTATATCAAATCACTGGTTTTTAGTTTTTCTTGTTGCAATTTTTAAAAATATTTTGAGCATGTGGTTTTTCTTAATTGTAAACTCAGGGAAAAAAGTAGAAATCAGAGTGCAATAAAACACTGTGTATAAAAGGTTTCAGATTTTGTAAATAAAGGCTTAAGCGAGGGTTCTTGATCTTAAAACTGAATGAATGCTTAGAGTAGTTGATATAAACTTAAGGTTTTAAAATTATTATTAATTAGCTCTTCTCTTTGTCTTTGCATTTACCTTCCCAGATGTTCCAGCCTATCATTTTACTTATTCTCATTCTTGTATTATTTTCATCACTTTCTTACACAACAATATTTAAACTTGTCTTCCTTTTTACACTGTTTTTTGTACTGTAAATCTTTCATCATTTACCATTCATTGTAGTATTTTCAGTTTGTTTATTTTGTTCACCCTTCAAGACAAGAAGTAAAAGAAGTATAATTTCTGTAGTAACCGATGTTATAAAAACACTGAAGACTGCTTATTTCTTTAAAAAGACACATCTTACCACTACCAAATTCAACAAGAAGCCTAAACACCAAAGTATTTCAGGTAAGGAAGTTGGACCTTTTATAAATATAAATTATGTTAATTTCTGCTTCTTTTCTTTTTTATCTTGACTTCTACTCTTCTTGATAAGTAATTGTTGAATGACTATAAAAAATGACTAAATCTCAATTTATTTCTCAGTAGTTGTGATGATAATTCAAAAGCTAGGCATTCACAAATTGGTTACATTTTAAAAACTATAGAGACTTATAAAGTAACTTTGATAGGTTACTTCAGACTAATGGATACTTTTTTTTAATCCCATAAATATCAATGAAAATTATGGTGAACAAATGAAATGTAACCACCAGGGAAACTAAATAATATTTGTGTCAATGCTCATGGTGTTTTGTCTAAAAAGATGTGTTTGGAAGCATGAGAGTAGATTAGAGACTTTAGTCTGTTGAGCAAATAATTATCCCCTCCTCTTTCATTTGATCAACTTTCAACCAAAGCAGCCATTTCTACATTGATCTGTTATACTTGAACATCCGTTGCTAATCAAGCCTATTCCCTAAGTCCTGTCTTTTCTAATAGATTACCACCCAGAAATAGTAATAGAAGTGTATATGCAATATTTTGCATGGGTAAAAAAATAGTCATTCTCTAGAATTGCATTAAATCACAGTCCAAGACCAGTAGCCTAGTTACAGAGGGAGTTGCTCTCTAGACAAACTTAACTTAGGTGAACCTGAGCATCCCCTTTTTTCCCCATACCTGAAGTGACCTAGATAGGTTCCATGTATGCAGAAGGCCTTGTCCATCTCATTTGGTGGTTTACCAAGTGAGGAGCTGAAATACATCACTGCCATCAACATTCAGAAATACTAGCACTTGTTGAAGTCATGTATGTGGAAATACAGGTGGATTGGGGGATATGAAAGTCTCTGGTAAAGGATCTTGTATCTCAGCATAAAGAATAATATGTAGAAAACCTTTGCTCAACTGAAAGTTGGTACTGGTAACTGTCTTTTGAATCCTCATCCCCCTACTACATCCATTTCCCTTTGAGCAGTCATCAAAAAAAAAATTCACAAAAGCTAAAAATAACGTTTAAAAGAACAGACATTAATCTTCATGCTTTTAAAATTTCTTTTTTTTTATTTCATTTGTTTTGGAGGGAGGAGAGACTTGGGCTAAGGAGTGGTTAACCAACTAGGTTGATTAACCAACAGTTGAAATCTGTCACTACATACATCTGTTTTTTTGTCTCAGATATTTGAAAGGCTAGGTAGAATTTCATGACAAAAAGGAATGAAGTAATGTTAAGTGCTATGTTTAATAATTATTCAGGGGTGTTCTTTTTAAAACATTTCATCTCAGAGAAAGCAACCACTTTAAAAATCAAAATTTGTTAGAGCTTTGATAAATCTACAGACTGCCATCCCTGGGAACCATTTGGCAAGGGAACTGGAAGTATCGGTTTGAGGGTTTAAATTTTTCTGAGATGTTTGCTGTCTTTGGAGCCAAATACGTCCAGCTAAGCAGTGATTCTCAGCTTCCTATGGAGCATTTGGTAGTGTATTGGAGGTGTTGTGGGTTATCACAATGACGGGGAAACTCTGTGGGCATTTAGAGGAAAGGGTCAGAATTTCAAATAATTGTCGTGAAAAAATTTGCTTATATTGTCCTTGTGGGGAAGCATGGTATGTGGTGCGCATATTCATTTCAGAAGTATCACGAATTTTCACTATCTTGTGTACCTTTAACTGGCATCAGGATTTTAACTTTCTTTATATGAGAAAAATCAAGAACTAATTATTTAGGTCAGTGGTCTTCAAACTTAGCTGCACATCAGAATTCCTGGGGTGCTTTTAGAATTGAAGTCCTACTTCACATTAATTGAAACTGAATGTATGGACCCAGGCATTTATATTATTTTAATATAGTGGTCCCCGAGAACCACTCCTTTACATGTTTGAATTACCTAAGTTGGTAGATGCAACCTATAGCAAGGTTACAATAAACTATGTGACCTCATCCTCAAATCTCTTGTTAGGAATTAAAGTCAGTAATACCCTGGCAATGGGTATAAATCATACCTATGAACTCCAAAGGCATTTGTTTTATTGAAGAATTTCATGAGAACCTTTCAGTTCCATCCACGCCCTCCAGATACAGAACTGCAGTAAGATATTGGGAAGGGGGAAACAGGACTGGCTTGGCTACTGATCACAGATTCTGGGAACTTGGGGATCTGTCTGACAACTCCTCCAAAGTTAGTGAGGCAACTTTACTTGTAGAGTCAAATTCCAGGGAAGCTCTTTCCAACTCTGCCTTGCCACTGCATAGCTGACTTGCCATTTTGTTCATGCATACACACACACACACACACACACACACACACACACACCTCTACCACACTGTGGTGTACAATAGGAGACTCGTCTAGCACCAGGAAATTGAGGGTTGTCTCTATCTCAGGCCACTGTTACGGGCCAGCAACTGGGAGGTGCTCTCAGCAAACTAGAAAGCAAGGGACAAGGTGCCTTCTTCTCCCTGGAACTCTGGGCTGTTTTTTGGCACCCAGGATCTAGGCTACATCTCTCCCTTATGCCACAGGACATAGACAGGGTAAGGAAATTTAACAAAGATAGTGCCCAAGACCTCAGAAAGAGTCTCCAGGATCTTGTTACCTGCATTATCTATATAAAGCCAATCATAACGAGTAACACCCAGGCTACTTTGTTCACCAGGAGAACAAAGTTTCCCAATTATTGACACAAGGAATCTTCTCCTATTTGTACCTTTGAAGCTGTGCTATTTAAACATCACTCTGAAAATGAAGTCAAGCAAACAGATCTTACTGTAGAAAATTCCCTTGAACTCACATTCTTGGGCGTGAGATGTCTTTGATAATTTGGCCTAAATATAAGAAAAAAAGAATTCAGTTGTCTATTTTTAAGCAAAACTGACTCAAACTCATAAAACAAAGGAAAATTCATTGCTTAGCCTGGAATGTGTATTGGTCTGCATTCCCCAACCTTCACTTCAATTTTTGTAGTAGAGCAGGATAAAGTTACTTCATCAGCTGCCAATGAAATTTGGAATGTCTTTTTGGTAGCTAAGCCTTAACTCCAAATGTTCACACAGCACTTGTAGCTGTATTCTTATAGAACTCCAGCTCACTTTCATCTGGTAGAAGTCATGTTTTGTGTCAGAAGTCCTAACTGAATATAAGGACTGAAGAGAAAATGGTGGAGGATAATATCAGAAAGTGAGAAAAGTTGACTGTTTATTAAACTACTGGGATGTGGTACATTTAAAACCAGTGTTTGTAAAGACACTACTGCCTAAACCCTAGATATAAACCACTCAGGTCTAATGAAAGACAGTTTGGGTTCTATGTTTGTAATTTTGATCTAGCTTTTGGTTGGTGAGGTGATTACATCACCTACCTACATAGAAGTGATTATCACATTGTGATGAAACTAACATTTCGTGAGTAGGCCCTGGGGTTCTAAAGAGCCTACCTGTGGAATTTCAGAGGGAAATTCATACAGAGTAAGAAAGTTTTATGGCCTGGATGTGGCAGGAAAACCTTTGTAGGTACAGTAATAAATGTGGTAACATACTAAGTGTTTCCAAACTGTACTTCTATATTGAAGAGCAGGGAATGGTGGTAGTTGTTTTAAGTGTTGACCATTCTGAAAGTGTGTGCTAAATCATAGAATCTCTAACGGTCCTTTCCATCATAACTTAATAACACATTTTAGTCCATTCCTTCTCTGCTTAGAGACTCACTTGCTCTAAGCTACTCACTCACAATTTGAAAAGTAACTTTGTGGCTGTCCTAGTGAGGTTGTAGGTAATTTTTTAATACTTCCTAGAACAACTATCAAGCGGAGTACTGTTATAATTTCACTTAATCAGAAAACAGGAGCAACAAGTGTAATACTCACTGTCTAGAAATTAGGAGAAACTTCAGAAATATCCACTTTTCCGTGCCCAGTGTTAAGCCAAGCTGTGTTGTTCTTGAGAGCCTCATTTTATATCTCAGATGTTGTGTTTAATAATACTTAAATGTATTGACATTTCCTGATTATTCAGTTTCACTGTTGCAAACATAGAAGGTTTTTTAGTTCATAGTTGCATGAGTTTCTAATGGCTATTTTTCAAAATTAATTACCATCAAAACTCAGCATCTGAAAATAAAATGGCAAGATTTTTATAAATGCATAAAATTTGTTATGCTTTAAAAATAATCAGTGGTTTTTAGCAAGTACTCAGTGTTTCCAAAAATATTCATGAAACTTTATTGACTTATTATTGACTTTGTTGTGTATTAGAATGTTTCTCTGAATGCTGTCTAAATCAGAATTCCTGTTCAGGTTATTTTAAGCTCAATTCATGATATTTTGCTTCTGTTTTTATTATTTGTTTTTAACTTGCCAGTACATGTTTAGACATATTATAAATAATTAAAAATATTTGCCTTTACCAATATGAAATAAGCAGTAAATGGAAGGGTTGCACTGTTTCAAAAACCAGTTTTTCACGGAACTTTAGAACAATGACTCATTTCACAAAATGGCTAATGACCCCGAAGTTTTAGGAATGGTGCAACTATTTGAAGAGCTTTACTCTACTGCATACTTCAGAGATGGAGCTCTGGAAATTACTCTTCTGAAAAAGTGTGCTCCACATGTTCATTTTTCTGTAGTCTCTTCTGAGTGATTTGAGTTGAGCTGCTTATATAATCTGAATTATCAAGATGCATAAGTGTTTATCAAAGGCTGACAAACACCATTTGTTCCTTACTGAGGTTGTCCAATATAATGTGTCTTTAAAGTCAGAAAGTCGGCTTCTTAAATTCACATCTGAAGTACCTGTCTTACCCTGTGTACTTGAAAATTGAAAGCACACAAGGGACAGAGTTTGCCCGCTGCCTCAAATGATTTAGTAAGGGAAGAGAATTTAAGAGCTTTAAAAAAAAGAAAAACCTTACAGAATCTTCTATTGCTTCAAAGTCAGAAAACTCAGTTTAGTATCTAGTTTGTAAT